GAATATTTAGCCCGATTTAAGCGTAGATCTGCGGAGCTGCCTGGAGCCGCTCCTGAGCCCAACGTGGTCCTTGTTCCAGCGTGTCGACGGAAGGGCGACCCAAACGAGCGCCAACACCCCTGAATCCACTCTCCCGGCCTGGCAGCATAAGGGAAGGGCCACGTGGAGGAGGCGGAGGGGAGGCAACCTTGGCCTGTAAGAACGGCGCTCTGGCAGGAACGGGCCCCGACCTCGGAGCTGTCCCGCTCCCCCGGGGACAACATGTTCCTCCTGAGCTGTTTTCTGATGCTCCTGGGGCCCGTGGACGGCCCTGGGTGCCCGAAAACGGCGACAAAAGCTCCGGGACCCACTTTCCTCCGGACCCGCTTGCTTTATGTAGGGGGGGAGTATGTGGCGAGGCAGGGCAGGGCAAGAGAAGGTCACCTCCAGAGGCCCGTCGTTGTTAATCCACGGCCCGAGAACTTCGAATTACCTTAAGGACACGTTCCTTCAGGACCCGCTTGTTTCATGGCGAGCAAGGCAATCGGAGGTTTTCCCAGGTTACCTCCCCGAAGATACCACGTCACGAAGAGCGCTACGCGTCGGGTATCGTAACCGAATCGGTTCGAGCCAGCCGAGACCGCCATCGAATCGGATCCTGAGGGGCGAGTGGAGGCGAGAGATAAGAGACGGCACGAATGGACGATGAGACTTCTTGGCCAGACGTTTTGAGCTCTTCAAGCAAGTGACGGGGCCCTCGTAAGGGGGGTTCGGTGAGCCGGCTTGCCTGAGTGTACCGTGCCGTGGTGCTGTTCCGTGCCGCCGGTGGAGGGTCGCCTGCGACGTGCCGTGCCACGTCGCGGTGCACTGTGTCAGCCAGCGCATAAGCTGGCGTGTGCTGATTTGTGGTGAATCGCTGCTCCCTGTCCCCTTGTTCATTCTCGCAGCGTGCTCGTGCCATTAGGTTCGCGAGCTCTGCACCAATGCGGGCCTTTCCACGGATCCATCCTCCGAGTAGTCGCTCCCTCCTCTCCTCTGAGCTCCCACGAATGCTCCGAGGCGTTCTGGACCCTCCCCCTCCATGTTCCTCCTCCTCATCATGATCATAATCATCATCAGCAACAGCATCATCTTCAGCATCATTAGCATCATCATCATCGTCATCAGCATCATCAGCAACAGCATCATCAACATCATCAAAACAATCATCATCATCAGCATCAGCATCATCATCACCATCATCATCATAATCATCATCATCATCAGCATCAGCATCAGCATCAGCATCAGCATCAGCATCAGCATCAGCATCATCATCATCATCATCATCATCATCATCATCATCATCATCATCATCATCATCATCTGCATCATCGTCATCATCATCATCAGCATCATCATCATCAGCATCATCCACCTCCTCCTCCCCTCCCTTCTCCTCCTCCTCCTCCCCCCATAGCCCCCACCCCCTGCCCTGGCGAACTGGATTTGTTTGCACCCCCAACTATCGAGGAAACTGCGACGTCGCGAAACTACGCGAAACTGCGCGGAGGAGGTTGAAGATAGCGGGCTGCTTCGCAGCATACTATCTGCCGGGCTCGTCCTCGTCATCGGCACCCTTCACGCTGATAGAGTAGAACTGCTTCGCGAATGCCCACCTCGGATCACGAGACTTCGTCACGAAGCCGAAAACAAACTTCGAGATGTTCTCGTCCACGAAAGCACCTACCTGAAAATCAGCCGCGACGTCCTGTGTGATAAGTGACCCGAAACGCCGCGGCAGCAGGTACGAATACAGGGCGGAGCGGTCCACGAGCTTGGCAAATAGGCCCCTTTCCAAGGCGTTCCAAGGCTCCTCGACGGCCTCTGCGTCGAAGTCGAAAGGTCCTAGGTCCACAAGGACGCAGGCGCCGTGTAGCAGGCCCTTGAGCAGAGCCCGCCTCAAGCGCTGGGGATCCATTTCCTTCAGCTCCGTCTGCTCGAAGACCACCGCGCCCGTGTACCGCACGAACGTGGACGTTCTGCCAGAAGGGTCGATGACCAACGGCCAGCGCCCATCGGCTTGCCTGAGTCCTCCCACATCTTTGAGAAGAACGTCGGCAACGCCCCTGATATTGATCGTCCTATTGAAGCCCCGACTGAAGGCCAGCGTAATCGGGAAGAGCGGCGGCGCATCCTGGGCGGCTGGCTCGGCCGCCTCCGTCTCCGCTGGCGGCTGGCCGTACCGTGCAAGGGTTTTTTTGTTGAACTCACTTTTGTGGAGATGCTTGAAGGGCCCCTCTGGGATGAGGGAGTCGCCCTTCTTGAGCTCCAGCTTGCCGTCACCGATCTCAGCGTCTTCTTTCACCTCGAGCTCGTCGTTGAGCCTCGCCAGCAGCTGATCCAGGTCGGCCTTGGCCGCCACCTCGAGCTGGAGGCGGAAGCCCTGCGCCTTCCCAGCCCTCTTGGCCGCCTTCTCGCGCTCCTGCTGGTCGAAGTCGCTGCGCTTGAGCCTGGCTCGCGAGACCTTCCACTCCCAGTCCCGCGCCGCCCCCTCGAACAGCTTTACCCGGCCCTCCGCCGCCTCGAGTAGGGGCTCCAGCTCCTGCAGCTTCTCCTGAGAGCAACCACGAGCAGCATGAGCATGCGCTTCCGGAGCTCCGCGCGGAGTTCTTGGATCGGCGCTGGGGTCCCTCCCTGGCGCGCGGAGCGCGCCAGAGACGGCGCTGGAGGCGCCGCGATGCGGGGCCCAGGGCAGGTCTGAGCAATCCGCGCGGAGCGCCGACAGTGCATGCTGCATGCCCACGGCGCTTGTCGTTGCCCTCTGTCCTGGAGGCCCTGCTCCGCGAGGGACACCTTCTGCTGGCGGTATTCCACCAGCAGCTTCCTGGCGCGGGCCAGCTCGCTCCTGGCGATCTGGGCCTTGCGCTCGGCCTCCTCGAGTGCCTGGTCCAGCTCGTCGGCCTGCCTCTTCTGCGCCTGCCGCTCCGCCTGCTCCGCCTCCTTGGCCTTCATCGCGCGCCCCTCGGCCGCCTTCTCCTTGATCCTGTCGGTGCCGGACGTGTCCCAGCAGAGGAGCAGCTCCCTGGAGAGCGGGTTGCTGGCCACGTCAATGGGTCTCTGCCCCTCCGCGTCGCAGTCCCGCGGATCGCCGCCTCCGCGCAGCAGCGTCCTGATGAGCTCGGAGTGGCCGGCGTAGGCGGCCCGCCACAGCGGCGTGCGCCGGTACCTGCCGACCGAGTTTGGGTCGCAGCCCTCGCCCAGCAGCACCTCGCTCACGTCGATGGCGCCACCGGCCGATGCCTCGCTCAGCAGGGTGTTGCCGTGCTCGTCGGTGCACTCCGGCTCGACGCCCTGGTCGAAGAGCGAGAGCACGGCGTCGACCTCGTTGTCGAAGGCTGCCTCCAGGGCCTTCTCCTTCAGCGCCTTCTGCGCCGCCCGCTGCGCCTGCTTGTCGCTCTTCCGCTGCTGCTCCCTGTCGGCGCGCTTGCGCAGGCACTTCTGGAAGAGCAGCTCCTGCCTCGAGAGCTCGAGCACGAGGGCCTCGTCGACGCCGTCCTCGTTCTCGCCCGCCACCGCCGTGGCCTGCACCGCGGGCTGGGCGTGGGGGGCCTGCTGCGCGGGGGCCTCCTTCGACGCTCCGGGCCCCGCCACCCCGCCGCCCCTGCCGCTGGCCAGCCGCGCCCCGGCCTGCCGATTTTCGGCCTTCTGGGACGCCCTCTGGTAGAGCTCGCCCAGGGCGTCGCCGCCCTGCGTGCCTGCACCTGCGCCCATCGCTGTCAACGCGGGGAGACTCTGCACAGTGTGCACTGGACACCAGGACGCAGCGACCGATGGAGCCAAAGGCTCTGAGGGATTACGGGGCACGAGGGGGGGCGAGGAGGAGTGGGAGAGAGTGGGAGCTGAATTGCGCTGGGAAAGGTGACAACTCCCGGCTCGGGACGTGAGGCTCAGAATGGTACACGATTGGAGATCGCTCCCCCCGCCCCCTCTCTTGCATTGCGCAGGCCCGTCGGATCACGACCACGCGAGATTGACTCCCCCACCCCGCGCAAGGACTTCTCTTTCGATGCGGTTCTGGATCCGGACTACCAGCCTGGAACATATCCCTATCCCTATGCTGGGCATTTCCTCATCACGATGCCAATCTTAGGGATTCCCTTACTTTTTGAAGGCGTATCCCTAAGATTGTCATCGCCCTTTGGCGTGTCAATCTTAGGGATAGGGATCAGCTCGAGGCTGGTAACCGGAGTACCTCCGACCTCAGCATTCGGATTCGCTCACCGGAATCTCACGACAAGCTCCAGCAGCTGAGGAGGACCCACACGCTCCAGGAGCCACTGCAACTGGAGAGAGCACAAGCCCGCACTGCCGCCTAGAAGGAACAGGTCGATGGAAACTTCAGCGTCGTGGGAATAGAATGATGCTCAGTTCACTCTCGCTCGCAAGTGAGGGTATATTCACCTTTTCGCTGAACGGGACACAGAATACACCAACACCAAGCGCGCGAGTCCGAATTGCCGCGGCGTGAGTGTGCGGCAACATTCTCCGTCACAAGCTTCGAGAACCATTGCCTGAAAATTTGGTGCTACACTGGCGGGTATCACGCCAGCGCCTTACTCAGGGTTGCCGAAAGAGAGACCGAATGGTTGCCCTCTCAATGATCCATCAAGCCACTGCCCGTGCCTCCCGACGATCGAATGAATGCCGCCGCTCCGACGCGCGACTGTGAGAAGAAACGCCCGTGTGGGGGAGCAGTGCCCATTCCTCGACGTTCCCTTCGAGGCGGCCTACGACGATCGAGGGTAGCCCAGAAATCTGCGCCGAAGGATTCCACGGAACCAGATCGCCTGAGACAGGCAAAAACAAACACGACCACTCCCAGACCCCCGCAGGCAGAGCAGCCACAAGGAAACCCACAGAGCACCCACCAGAACCAAAGTAACTTCACACCGCATCTCCATGACGCTTTCTGTTATCAAAGAAACGCGACGAACATCAGCCAGCCGAAGGGCCCAGCCCTACACAGCTCGCAGGAGGCACGCAACTCGGGGCAGTGCCTGATGGGGGGGGATGAAAAACAGGAGCGCAGAGGCGCGCTGAGCTTGCCATGGCGCACGATCCGTGCCGAGGATGGGCCGAAATTGGCGAAACCCACTTTCAGATCCGCGCAAGGGGGCCGTAGGTGGAACCACCCGATGGCGCACGATCCGTGCTGAGGATGTGCCGAAATGGGCTGGGGGGTCGCACTGGGACCCGCCCACGGGGGCCCCAGGTGACCCCCCTGTGGGGCAGGATACGTGCGTGTGAGGGATGTGCCGCAGCTTGCGGGGGGGCGGGTGCGAACCCGCCCGCTCGGGCCGACTGGGAAACTTCCGGTGTGGTGCGATCCGTGCGAGGGGCGTGCCGACGTCGACAGGGGGCCGCATGCCAACTCGCGCACTGGGAGGCGTAGATGGTACGACCCGTGTGAGGCGTGTGCCCGAATGGACGGGCACGCGAATCCGCCAAGTACAGCCAATATCTCCTTCAGCTTGGCACTTATGCGCGGACTGCGGGGCGCGAGCAGGGCACAGCCTCGCGCCCGCAAAAAGGTTCGCGGCGATATTCGGGGAGGAATGCGAAGAGCGCCCACGCTCGTAAGAAGAAATCATGTCTGGGAGATCTTCTAGCGCACTGCGCTCCCCCCCGCACCCCAGCAGAATCATAGCAGGGGGACCAGTGCGCTCGGGCCTGGGATGGCGGGATCCCAAAAACGTCCCCAATCGATGAGACTACATGGCTGAAGCGGGGCAACGCGAAATCCCGACGTGGTAAGACAATGGTCGTCAAAATCCCGCGCCATTGGGAAGAGGCCCCGCGAAGTCCCGAGCCCCGCATCGCGTCGCGGCGAAACTTTCGACACGCCGATGAAGGCCCACCGTGGACCCTTTGCGTCATCATAGCGGACACTTGAGGTCGTCCTAAGCGTTCGATTGCCGTGAGCTCTGGCTCAAGCGCACCCTGCCACTGCTGCGCTGTCCTTGCTTGCAAGGATGGCGTCTGCGCCTGACCAGGCGGAGGGGGCCCTCGTCCGCGCTCACCTCCTGCGCGCTTTCATCAGCGGCAGCGCGGGCACGACAATTTCAAGCTGGAGTAGGAAAGCGGCTGTAGTACCTTAGGCCAAACTTTAGATAGAAAGCGGTCTGCGCGCGTGGTGTCCGACAGTGGGCGGGCTCGGAAAAAGAGCGGTACAGCAGAGATGAAACGAGGACCCAGCATCACATGAGGGCTGGGATCTCAGCCCACCAGCCATCTGACCTGGTCATGCGGTCCATTGAGGTCCCCCTGCGAACACCAGTCTTCCGATGTGGGAAGGGGTGGTACCCTTTCCCCTGTCCCATCCCCTGGGTCTGGTGGACCCCCTCCCCCCACGCGTCAGAGCGTCGAAGGTTGCTCCAAGATGGCGTCAGGGAGCCACGGATGGCCTCCGGCCTGACTCGGTTGAACCCAGCATGGCGTACTGCAGGATGTCCCTCGGCATGTCGCGGAGAGGCCCGAGCACCGCCACGGGGCGGAACGATGAGGCCGCCGGGGCCGCCCAAAGATGTCCCCGGTGTGCACAAGGAATTCTGCGCTGGAGGTGGTTTCCAGTGCGGCGTGCATTCTCGCATGGCCGCTTCCGATGGGCTTCTGAAGCCTCGGTGCGGCCCCAGTTCCACCCAAGAGAGGCCCGAGGGCCCTTCCTCAGCATCATGATCGGCATCATCGTCAGCACCATCTTTAACAGCATCCTCCTCCTCCTCCTCCTCCTCCTCCTCATCATCATCATCACCATCACCACCATCACCACCACCACCACCATCACCACTAGCATCATCATCAGCATGATCATCATTATCAGCATCATCATCAGCAGCATCATGATCCTCAGCATCAGCATCATCATCACCACCATCGTCATCGTAATCACCATCAACATCATCATCGTCATCGTCAACATCAACATAATCGGAAATTGTATGAACATCATCATCATCATCATCATCGTCGTCATCATCAGCAACAGCACCATCATCATCATCATCATCATCATCATCATCATCGTCACCATCACCATGTTTGTCGTCATCGTCGTGACTACCATCCTAATCATCATCGTCATTGTCATAATGACCACCCTCATCACACTCATCATCTCATTCTTAGTGTTATCATCATCGTCATCATCATCACCCTTGCCGTCGTTATCATCATCGTGATCGTGATCATGAATATCATCGTCATCGTCCGTCATCGTTATGATGCTCCCTCACATGCTCGTCCTCCTTATAGCGTCATCCTCCTCGTCTTCTTCCTGCAGCACGACCCGAAGAGGCCCCATGTGGCCCCGATGTGCACTCGCAGAGCCCAGAAGAGAGACCCCCTCGCTCTGCAGATTGCCACAGGTTGCCCTGCGAGCCTCCGCGCGCCCCCCGTCCGCCCGCATCAGCGGCGCCATACGCTATAGACAGCAGCCGCCGCTGCCGCTACACAGAACACTCCGTCCCTACACGCCGAGAC